TGTAAATTTTTTTTAAAGGTACGTTTTAAAATCTATCAAAATTGTTAATATTGATAGGCTTCAAATATTTATTATTAAAAAAATATGTTTTACTATCATATTGAAAAATGCGTTATTAATAGAATTGCTTGTATAATTGTTTATATATTAGTAAGAGGGAAAGAATCATGTATCGAAACTAAATAAATCTTGGATATTTGTAGATACATGAACAATAATAATTAATTAAAATTTTCTTATTAAAAATTGATTTCAAATTAGCGAATTTAGATGAAAAATATCTCTCTTGATCTCTATCTTGGAAAATATTCACCTTTTCGATTACTGTCTTAATTATTATTCTTTTAATTTATATTGATTTTATTATTTATGCATGTATCTATTTAGACATTAAAGTAATGTATTTTTTAATGCGCGGATATTATAATAAAATAATTTAACATTATCATCGGCTATCTAGGATTTACTTGGTTTTTATATATATTTCTTTCTTTCTATCATTGATGTGCGAATAGTTATAAAAGCAATTCTATTATAATAACGAATTATTTGGAATAATAAAACATATTTCTAATAATATACGTGTAATGCCTATCAGTGTTAACAATTTTGAAAAATTTTAAGAAATTTAAAAACCTTTAAAAATTTACAAGGAATGAAAATAATGAACAATTACTTTAAAATGCTCAATGATAATACAGTCAGTGCAGATTATAAAAAACTCTATGTTTTATGTCTAAAGTTATGTCTAAAATTTTATGTCTACTACACAGTTCTAAACAATATAAAAGAAATGTAATTAAATTAAAATAAAGTTTTGTGTTTATATTCAAAATTTTATTTTAATTAAATACATTAAATTATATTTATAATTTTATTTTGCGACTTTTGCAAAAAGATAGTCGACGTTACTGGTTCAGTGAGTTTAAAAAACTTCAAACTATTATTGGAAGTTGTCCTATCTCTCCAAGATATTTATATCTAAATTATATCTATGATATATATATATTATATATTTGTTGTTTATATACAATTGATGTTGTTAGTGCACCAACAGTATTGCAGCTTCAGAATATACGAATGCCACAAGTACTGATACAGTTTAATATTTTGTTAAGTACACGGTAAATAGCTGCCTTCGTATACAATTTAATACCAAGAACCTTGAGTTTAACATACGAAGAAAATTCGTTGTTAAAACTTTAGAGAGATTGAGCGAAATTGTAATTAAATCGTTGGGCCATTATTGCGGTCATTATAAAAATAATGACCCAAGAAATTCCAATCCGCAAGATGTTAAAGAGGCGCAAATCCCAGATAACAGTTCCCCTGACTAGTATCAGACTATCAGATCCCTCATGGGATCTGAAATAACAATTTACCATTTATCCTTATATTTAAGTCACAATGAATATAAGTACTATCGAGAAGCGATACACCCATATTCTTAAATTCATTTTCCGGAAATCAAAGTGCTGTTAAACTTAATAATGAATTTTTACCGTCAATAAATGCAAAAAATAAATGTTTTAAAACACTTAAGAATGAAAAAAAAGCCTAGATTTAAATATAAACTAAATATAATATATACATAATACATAATTTCTTATAATATTACTTCCTAAAGTAATATACAGTGTAACACATGATAGCCGCCAAGTGGCCAATAGCCTAATTAAAATGCTTACATTATATACATATGTATGTATGGATCTTATATGTTCATATTTACGTATGCGTCACGGGGAACCATTTGAAGTTTAGAAATAATCACGAATATTTTTATGATAATACACACTATAATAATGGTGAATTGTGCTTTTGAATGAACAATAGAGTGTAGAAAAGAAAAAGGAACCTAATCATCACGAAACGGGACACAAATGAAAAGACAGGAAAGTCTCGAAGGTAGTTGACAATCACGTAATAAATTTGTTAGTTCTCAAACTGCCGCTTATTAATTTACAATCTATTTGCGTACATACATATATAATTGGTAAAGGTTATAACTCTGCCAAAAATTAATTTTATGCCAACTTCCAAATTTGCTTCTGTCGAGGGAATATTTTCCTATGTTTTCCACCGGACGATGTGAATTTTGTGTGCCATTTAATGAAGATACAGAAGGCAAGGTAAAAGTCTCGTTTTTCGACGTGCCCAAAAATCGTGGTCTTGAACCGACCCTTATATGGTCTGAACGCGACCCCCTATTAATAATACATTATATTTTTATGAAATGAAATTTTTGTTTTTAACTTTATTAAAGTACATTTTAAGGACATTTTATAAACTGTTAATCACAAAAAAATAAACAATCAATCGCTGTAGTCTGAACTGTCTTCGGTTTTATAATAACTACAAATACCTATTCTTCCTACGAGTAGTGCGACAATTGAGACCACTCGTCGACGGCTGTGGTTCCATTTGGGTTCTTGTTTGATTGACAGAAATCATTATTAAACACATTTTTTCTCCGAAAATATACTATAGACAATTACGATGCAAAAAAAGGGGGCTTTTGGACAAAGATCTCGCGGTCGCTTTTGGACCATTCCCACTTTTTTCACATATCGACTCGCCATTCCCATATGACAACTAATGCGATCTAATATCCATGGCATATATTTAACATGGTCCATAAACCAATAAAAATGACTTACCTTTCGATGCTTTTCAAGCTTACAAACACATTTAACTCGTTTTCCGTATAAGTCAGAAAAAAACTGCACGGTTGTTAAAACATATCACGACGTATAACTTCAAACAAAATTATTTGTGAAGATTGCAACATACGTTCAAATTGTCAATAGGATAACCGCTTTTCAGTGACACTAGTAAAAATTCAACCAGCAACGCCATTTCTGAGAAACGCGGGGGGTCGGTATGGTTTACCCGGTCGGTATGGGAACCCTCTC